TCTGTCATTCTGGAGGAAGAGCGACACAAACAATATGTGCAGTCACGGATTACTATGTATTTGAGCTGAATAACTTGCCCGACACAGGTAGAGGAATACTTTGTGAAGCAGCTTATCTCCTTTATATCAAACGTGAAGAAGGTTGAGAATTCATAATCTGCCAGGCCTCTTAGGGATACAAGGGCTTTGATGAACGTTACGCCGACAACCCAGACCCAAGCCTGTATGGAGAACACCTTAAATTACAGACTAAGGGCATGTAGCTAAGGGTATTTCCACCACTAGGGTGTCCATGTAGATTCTCATTCATCCAGGTCATGGTTATCTTGAAGACTTAAAACAGGCAACTGGACTGTGTAGAATTGAGAACTCTACTCTTTTTTTCTCAACTCTACACAGTCCAGTTGCCTGTTTTAAGTCTTCAAAACACCACTAGGGTGAACACCTTACTACTAAAATCTAGACAGCAATTTTATGAATTAGGAGACAAAGACAGCAAATGGTTCGCCCAGCGGGCAAGAGCTGAGGCAGCTTCAAGGCTAGTCCAAGAAGTTTAATCAGCTACAGGATAGGTACTCAGTGACCCCAAAGCAATTAATAATACTTTTTAAGAATTTTATACCTCTCTTAATACCTCTGATCACCCCCGTTTATCGAATATTACGTTGGACAAAATTGTTGGACTAACCTTAGGTCACCTTCCAGATACCATATTGAAGGCCACTGTCTCTCTTCTCCTAAAGAGGGATAAAGACCCTCTCCTTCATAGCAGTTATTTTACTTTTGAACTCTGACTTCATAATTCTTTCCAAAGTTCCTGCCTCACAGCTTCAGACTGTTTTGACACCCCGATTTTATGCCAAACCAACAATCCTCTCACAACACCAGGTGCTTGCTTAACATTATAGCGTCACCCTGTTCTTTATTTCCAGAGGTTGTAGTCTCCCTTGTCAATGAGAAGGCCTTTGATGGGGTTGAATACAGTTAAATCTATTCTTTTCCAAAATCCTTTGTGTGAAATTATAATATTTCTTTTCCATTCCCTTTTTGCCCCGGTACGAGCCAGGGCTGCCCTCTTTCTCCTTTTTTGTTTACTCTGGTCATAGAACTGCTGGCTCTTTGGTTATGCTCAGATGTTGGCTGTCAAAGTCTTACCTGTTTGGGTACAGTCTGCAAAGTTTTCTTAAATGCAGATGACCTCCTTCATCACCTTATTCTTCATTAATACAGTAGTGTTTTTGGATTTATACTCAGTTACCAAAAGAGTGAGATCTCACCGATAAATGACTTGGCCCAGCAGCTTCCTCATTCCATAGTACTGTTTGAATGGTCGCCTCAAGAGGAGTGTGAAGAGCAGCGCTGTCTCTGTCCATGACTCAGTGGCGAATTGCGAATGAGCTACTGGAGCTCTGCAGAAGATGACACAGAAAATGACACAGCTAACATGATTTTGGCTAAAAACTTCATAATCACAATATGGAGACCACTGAGAAGAGTTTAGGTAGTAAAAAAAAAAAAAGATCAGAGTGGGACTTTAAATACAGATCCCGCTGCAAAAGGATGCATTTCTTTTTTTTTATATATAGGTCTATCTGGTTGGCATCTTCAGCTTCACTGACTGCTATTCAAAGCATCTGGGAGGAGAGCCTCAACATTAAATTAACTTAGCAGCAATGGTAGTCCGCACTTTTTCTTGTTCATTTAACATGAATCTGTGTCCGGCACAGGTTGATTCAATGTAAGGCTCTTTTTTAAAATTCACTATACAAATGCAAGACTTAAAAAAAACCCCAAAAAAACCCAAATGTATCCTTCTGTCAGTGAGTCCAGTTGCAGTTGTAACTCATCTCCTGCAAACCATGCACATATGTTCTGGTCGTGTGCTGAACTGGGGTCGTTTTTGGCATTGCTCCCTTTACAAGCGCTCCTAAAAGTTTGAAGCAGGCCTTGGCAATTTTACCACCTGCTGGCCCTGCACATTCTCAATGGGTTCATGGGGTGCTTTACAACTTGAAGCTTGAAAGATAATTGATGTTTATTTTTTTACTCTTACAGTTGTGGCCAAAATTATTAGCCCCCCTATAAAATTTTAACTTTTTTTCCAAAATTTCCTCAGTGCTGTTCAACAGATTAATGATTTTTTTATGCAGCTTTTCCAAACATCCTCGTTTAATTTTGGATCCTTAGGCTGTATTGGCTGAGTGAGATCGTGTTGATTTGTTCCACTTTAGTGGTGCAACATAAACTGTGATTCATAAAATAGCTTTATTGATAGTAAGTACTAAAAAAAATATCTACTCATGTCATCCAGTCGACAGATTAATCCAATTAGTGTTTCGGTGCCGAACTATTTCCTTTCTGCGGCGTAGTGATACTTGCACACACGCAATCGAATATGCAAAGGGGTGATGCGTTTTTTGTCACGTGGACCAATAGGAGCCAAGTCTCGTTGCCATAGTATCAGAAATACACAAACATGGCGACAAGCGCAACTAGCAGCGAGACGAAGAAAAGAAAGGGAAAAAAGAAAACAGCCTTCAAAAGTGCATCAAAAAGGAACAAAACGATGCTATATGAATCTATCATCTGTCCAGAGTGAAGAGGTTCTCGACTTTACAAGGACACTTTGGGAAACTTACAGAACTAGTATTATAAAGTGGCTTTCTCTACTGGGTGAGACAAAGGACGTAGAAACGTACAAACATTGCGTTGATATCGATTCGCTGGGTTTCACATGACATGCTACCAGCGATTTATTTGCAAAAGGCGTTTGAGAAACAAGAACGTGATGCAGCCACGGGTCAGTCAAACCCTTCAGCCAGCATCGCCGATGTATCCACGTCCACGGCATCTGAAACTCTGCGAAAGAAACTTCGCTCGAGGTCATAAGCTGTATTGGGACAAAGGAAAAAGTGCCTAGAAAGTGAATTTCGTTCAACTACTTTGGTGCTACTTGTTCAATGCATTTTTGCATAGACAATACCCTTCTGGACTTTGGGTTAAAATATCTACTCAGACTATCTGTCAGACTTTTGTCACCAGCCAGAAATGTACATACATGTGAGTAACACAAAAAACGATTATATGGTGCTGCTGTTTTTGCTTGTAGAAACTGCTGTTGATTCTGGCAAGACAAAATCTTTATCAAATGTCATAAATACAAATACCCAACACCTGAAACAGTTATTGGTGCCTTAGTATACACATAAGTGAATTCAGATTATGAAATGTAGCAAATTTCTTGAAGAAAACGTCTCAACTCAAGTGATTTGTACCCAGCACAATGAAATATATACATTAAATTTAGCTAAAAGCTTATGTTTCATACATAAAAATGACACAACCTACTGTGTAATAAAAGCAATAAAATGTAAACAGCACACCATGGCCATAAATGGCTGAAAGTCAATCAAATTGCTACCATGCCCTCCAAAATTGGAATAATGGAAAAAATGTAACAAGACAAAAATAAATGCACAAAAGGTCTGAATTAATTCAAAATATGGTATAAAACATTTATTCAAGTATCACAGTGTCAAAACATCTGACATTTATCTATCTCCTGAGAAATCCCAGCCAATTCCTCTTTGGCAAATCTTTCAAGCTCCTCCAGATCTGTTGGTCTTCTAGCATGGCCCCTGGTCTTCAGTGCAGCCCACAGATTTTCAGTGGGATTTACGACAGGGCTTTGTGCAGGCCAGTCAATAACGTTCACTTTGGTTTCCTGGAGGTAGCTCCTCACCAGGAGCACTGTATGTTTTGGGTCGTTGTCATGTTGGAAGACAAAGTGACGACCCACACCCAGTTTTTCTGCTGACTCCTTGAGGTTTTCTTTCAAAATCTCCACATGTCCTTCTTTCTTCATTATTCCTTCAACCTTGACAAGATTCCCAGTTCCAGATGCACTGAAACGTCCCCACAGCATGATGCTCCCACCACCGTGTTTAACTGTGGAGACAGTGTTCTTGGGGTTATATGCCTTTTCCTTCTTTCTCCAAACATAAGCAATGTCTCTGTGACCAAAGAGCTCTAGTTTGGTCTCATCTGACCAAAGAATACATCTCAAGTTTGAACAATCTTTCTCCAGATTGTCTTTAGCATACCTCAGTCTGGCTTGAAGGTGTGTCTTTTGTAGAAGTGGAGCTTTTCTTGGCCTGCATCCTCGCAGTCCATTTCTGTTCAGGGCTCTAGAGACTATCTTATTTGACGCCACAATTCCTGACTTGGCTAAGTCACCAACTACTGTTCTGGTGGTTGTTCTAGGTTGTTTAGATACATCTCCCGCAAGTTTTCTTTCCAGTTTCTTTGAAATTTTCTGCGTCCTACCCAGGGCCGGGTCTAGAAAATGATGACTAGGGGTGCATCTCAGATCAGAGGGGGTGCACATGCCTGGCACATTATTTACTTTAATGTTACTTTTACTTTTAATGTGTACCACACATCTCCAATTTCATTTACAATTTCCTCAGTTATGATTTTGCTCATTAGTTCAATTATTTCATTTTGTATATGATTTGATGTGTATTTAGCATTGGCAGGGATGGTCTCAAATATCTTCTTAAAGTCCTTGTCCTTTTCAAGTGTGTAATCCATCATGGCTAAAAAAAGACCACTACTTGTCTCACCTCTTGTATCCAAAGCCTCAAAACAGCCACGGAAAGGGAGCTGGTTTACAGCCAGGAATTGAATGATGTCCACAATAGATGACACATAAGTGTGGTTTCTCTCAAGCTGGTCTTCATTCACAAGCGTGGACACCTCAGTCTTAGTCCCTTCTCTTCTGATCCTCTCCTGCCACAACGCCACTGATGTCATGTGTTCTCTGCTTGCTTCATGCCTTGCCAGTCCCTTATGGCGCACAAGAGCATGGCGCCAGTTGTTGTAGCCACTAGTGGTGAAGGCATCTCTTTTACTAGGGCCAAATCCAAACTTTCTACACACGTAGCAAAATACCGCGTCATTTTTGCAGGAATACTCTAGCCACTCTCTGTTATCGAACCATGAGCTGCAAAAGGAACGCTTTACTCCTCCAAAAACTGATGATGGATACTTCTGTAAATGCATTTGAAGTGGCTCCTCCATACCTAGGCCGTCGGGGGGGCCGGGCGCCTGCTCTGGGCCTTGGGGTGAAGGGAGGGGGGGCTGCGACGGCAGCGGCTTGGGCAGGAGTGAGCAGCCGGACGAGGCTACTGCTTGCTCCCCAGCAGCAGCTGCTACGCCAGCTTCACAAAGCTCAAGTTGGGATCGAGTCTCTGTCTCACCAACGACGACCGTTGTCTGACTTGCTGGCGTGGTTGTACTGGAACCACTTTCGAATATCCATTGTTTACTTTGTGCTAACGGTGCAGCAGAGAGCAGCGTCTTGCTAATGCAGGTAACTGCGCGCTGCACGCAGGCAGATGAGTGACGTGCCCTGACGCGCGTGCACTTCTCCCTCTTTCCAACTGAGCATGCAGCCACATAAACTGAGGGAGCAATGCATGCTTATGCACCCCCGTAGAACCGGGCCTGGTCCTACCTCTCTCAGACTTGTTCTGTACTGTGTGGCTCTCCTTGAATGTCTTGATGATACTTCTCACTCCACTTCTTGACACTTGGAAACGCTCTGATAATTTTTTATATCCTTCTCCTGCTTTGTGAGCATCAACAATTATTTTTCTCAAGTCTAAACTGAATTATTTTGTTTTTGCCATGATGCCTTCTCAAGTGACAGCTCAGATGCTTAACAAGGTTTTTATACTGTGTGTAAAGTGTAGGACAACTCTTTGTTTAACTTGATTGATTGATTTCAAGCTGTGAGCATTTGAAAGTTAAAGCACATGATTGCACAACACTGGTTTTTGTTTTGGCTCAATGAACACATCAGTTCTTAAGGGGGGGTTATAATTTTGACCCTGGTAGTTTTTGTTTTTTGTGAAATAATTTTGTTTCTGTGTGCAAAGTGAAATAATGTAAGGATCCAAAATAAAACTAGGATATTTGGAAAAGCTGTGTAAAAAAATCATTAATCTGTTGAACAGCACTTCAGAAATTCTGGAAAAAAGACTTAAAATTTCATAGGGGGGCTAATAATTTTGGCCTCAACTGTATAACTGGTGCAGTACGTCACACCGTCCATCTAAAATGTTCAAAACATTTTATTAATAAAGTTAGAAAAAAAAACAATGCAGTTTGGAAAAATTAGCACAATACTTTTGGGGTTTCACTGCATCAGGATATAAATCAGATGGCCATTCAAAGTGTCTTGGTCTTGTTGGTCTGAGAACCTTTACAACTCTGCTAAGTGCTCACAGTGCTAAACTCTATTATCCTGCAGACACACAAAATAAGTCGCTGCTGTAATCGTCACGCTGGGTTGTCTCTCCATCTCTCATGTAAGTGGGGTCCACATCTAACATCTAAGACTTTCCTTCTTCTCAAAGAATACATAAAAAGTGCTTCTACTCAAGAGCAGCGTGAAGTAGGAGAAGGAGATTAAGACCATTAGACCCATATTGGCTTTTGTTAGACTATAATTAATAGGCATGGATCTGAAAATTACATTTAATTTGTCAGTGCATTATTACTGCCGCTATATCCGTGTCCCATTATGTCGTGGGATAATTGTCCTTATCATAGACTTATAATGTGCTTATGAAGCATTAAAGGGTTTCTTTTTCCATGATCCCCATATACTACTTAGATAAGAAGGAAAGGGACACAGTGTTGTCCATAGAGGTAAGTAAGACTCAATACAAGACCAATTAAAAGTTATAAAGTTCTCTGTTGTCATGGGATCCTTTCTTTGTGATGTTTTTCATTTCTTTTGTTTTTTTAAGGTAACATCAAGCTACCCGAGTCAGGGCTTGCAAAAATAAAATCTTTGGATGTGACCAGCACAAAGCTGATGTCAAAATTTTGGTTTAAACGTTTAGCTAAAGCAGCAACACTTTAAATATTTTATGATGCCAAGGCAGAAGAACTACTGCGTCTGCAGTGCACATGCAAAATACACACGAACTCCGATTGCATTTCCATAAAGTAAAAATCACAAATTTTCTTCCCTGAGCTGTGAAACTCTGCTGCACTCAGTGATCGACTTATCAGGGCTCCCCCACAAACAAGCAGCTCCTGGAGAGAGTGGGTGAGTTGTGTTTGTTCCCTTTGCTAAAGAAATTAGGCAAGGTTAAAAAGATGTTTGATGGTTAGTGCTATGGCCGGTGAGTGTATATGTACTGTTGATGAAGTTAGGTGCTGTTCTGAGCATTATTTGTGATGTTAGAGTGGCTTTTTGGTTGAGGTTTTCACGTGGAGACGTAAACTCTGTGTATTGCTATCATACGGCCATTACTAAAGTTGGTATAACTAGAGAAGCAAGCAGTCGGTAACATTCATTTTTCAAGGGGGGGGTCTCACTTGGTGTATCAGTGTTTTTGACCCTAACTTGAATTTACGCCGGAATATCCCTTTAACATCAGGCCTTACATGCAGCAGGCTGCATGCCCTGAGGTGTACGGACCATTTTGATTCAACTGTAGGCATTTTCCCATCCATATATAATTAATAATGAAACAACATGGTTATTTCCTAATCTTAAAATGATCATTAACCAATCCAAAAAAAGAAAATATCCATGTTTGAGGAGGAGGGGCTGCAGCCACGTTCATAAAGGATGTAACTAGGACAACAAAGCAAGCATCACAATATCATTCAGTCTTGTTTATCATACTTGAATGATTGATGATGAGAGTCCCTACTTAATGATGAGAGTCCCTACTTAAACCAGACTGACTTCTTTGCATGTTCAGTCATGATCCCAACTAAACAACTGACCGCCAAAATTCTTCTTCCAGGAGTTTAACAGTTTTTCTCTTAAACTTGATTAGACAGTCTATTAGTACTCTTGCATTACTACTTTAATTAACATGACATGACTGAACTCATAGTATAATGTTAATTTTGGTTTTGTAAAATGTAGAATGGGGATCTTTAAGTAACCAGGTCTTACTCTGTAGTTCTGGTGCTTGCGGACTTGAACAAGGACTGTCAATCCAGTGAAGTGGAGCTATAACAATGGCTCAGGCTACTGCAGTGGGGGCCTTACTTTCCGTCATTTACCTTTACCTGTGTCTCAGTCCCTTCTTTTCAGATTTAACACATTTATGATAAGATGACTGATTGAGGCCGCACAAGTTCTGTATCTAACTGGTCGGATTTGGAGCACTGTGGCTCACCTTAGGCTGTGGAAACTATTTTACAAAGTCTGCTTTCAATAACGTCTGGAGGCTGTGCACCAACTCAATGACCAAAGTTTAATTTGTTGCTTGGAAACAAAAATAATTAGCAGGACTAATTAAGCATATCGAAAATCAAGGCCGAGAGAGTCAGTGTAAAAAAAAAAAGAGTTCATCATTATGACTTCCATTATCATTATAACAGTGCTGTCATGCACATGAACAATCTTACCATGTTTTTTTGCTCTTTCTGTTCTATATTTGTTCGATGAGATGTGTGTGTCACATCAAACACTAACCCACACTTTCTGAAGGATGCTCAAGTTTCTCTAAATCTGAATTCTGAATCTGAATATCCACCATACTGAGGATATTTAAAGTTAGATGCAAGATGCATTATTTAATCCCAACCTCAGAGATTCCTTTGATGCCTTTCCTTTCTTGTGGCAGAGTTTTTCCCCACAGGAGAGCATCTGGTATGTTATCTCCCAGTCTTAAATCATGAGGCGGTGTGAAGGGATCATTGTGGCAGAGTGGAGGGGAGGGGGGTGAGCTTAGAGGAGACGACACACTCCAGCACTTTATTATCTTTGTTTGCTCGCTGGGATGCAGCCTGTCCGTCTCAGAGAAGCACTGTCTGGTTTTGTTGCGCTGCAGAAAGTGCCCCGAAAATTGCAAAAATTCACAAGATTTGCCATCAATGGTGTTTGGAGAGCAGACTGTGAACTCCGTTGAGATCAACACAACAGCAGTGAGCTCAGAGGAAATACGGAGGATAGATGAGATTAGTTCATGTGCAAGTAAGATCAGAAAAACTCAGGAAGCATTTTTACACCATTAAAATGCCTCATCTTAGGTGTATTTCATTCAGGTATCCACAGTAATGTAAACATGCAGGTGAATAAAATAAAGTGTTTTGCACAAAGCTGGGGCTGTTTCACAAAACCTGGATAACAGACTAAGGCCGTAGATATAAGCAGTAGATTATGTCCTTCAAGAGGAGGAAATCCACTTCTAGACTGTCATAATCAGCATCTCCTTGTCCATGGTGTGATCGCGGTGACATGCTGCACCTTTCACTTGTTCGTCCCCGCCCATTTGCATGTTGTGAAATACGATCCCCCTGAAACACATAGTGTCTTAATTTGAAAAGAAGCCGGATGTTTTATTTTGTGTCTGTGCCCAACTTCCTTTCCAACAGGGGCTAATCTGTGCTGAACTTATGCGGCATGCTGCGGGGTCCAAAAAAATTAGAACTCTTGGGATCGGCTATGAAGCCCACTGAACCACAGTGGAACGGAAAGAAGCCGGTGGAAATTGGCACATAAATTTGAATGGAAATGATCAGCTGTGATCAGCAGATACGGCCTTTTCACAGCCATTCTGGATGCTGTGGAAATTGGGGGTAAGTCACATTACAGACTTTTCAGAGCAGCTAGCCTGCTCCAAACTAGACTAACAGCCAGACTTGGTTTATTTTGGTGCCTCATCTTTTCAGTCAGTCTCTCTGCACAGAAACATCAAGTCATTTCATGTTCTTTTGTACTATGCCCCACTCTTACAGGCCTTAATTAAACAGGCCTTCTGTTACTTTGGATTGAATTGTTTATGATTTCAGTTCATTTTTTTTTGGCGTAGCGCATCTTTCCAGTAACAGGTGATGCATGCCACCTGCTTAATTTGTTGAAGTGACACAAGAGCAGGAAGTTTGTAAATTCTGTCAATTATTTCTTCATAAAGTTTGTCCTCGTCGATGCCTGTCCTCTTTTATTCTTTGAGTGGAGGCTGATACAAGATGTTCAGCAGTTGTTAATGCTGCAATTACTGCAAATCTATTATGCTCTGATTCAGTTGCTATGGTTTCCTACTCACAAACAAGAAGGGGAGTAGCAGGACCAGAACATGAAGAAATGCCGAGCAGAGACACCGCACTGCTGACTGAGTGATGTGGACACTCCTACACAGAAGTATGTGCTGCCCATCACAGTGTTGACTTTTCTTCTGAAGTACTCAGAAATACTACAAAAACAACACCATAAGAAAAAACAACAACAGAGCTTTGACTCATACTCTGATTTTTCTCTGGTGGAGTTTGGCCCTGCAAAGAGCAAGACAAAACTTTTTTTTAAATCAGTGTTTTCTTCTCATGGCCAATA